TTTAGGTGCAGGTCGTCGATGTACACGTTGTCAGCTAGTCACCGAGTGCCATTCCCAGCTGTTCTCATCGATGTTGCGTCTTTTTATCTATCTATATTTGATGTCTTTCCCGCCAAAAACTGATCGACAGCTATAGGAGAGCGACGTTGTGAATGCATTTCCAGCTCGTCATTCTTGCACACCGAAAATGAATGTTGCCGAGAATAAAATAGTGCAATCGAAGTCATCGCATGCTTTTTTTGACAGAAGACGAGTGAATCCTAAGTGAGCGGATTTTCACGCAAAGGAACTGATTGATATAACATATCTATCACAAGCAATATATGCATTCAAATATTACTAAGTACTGTTATCGCAGGAAATATTGTAGTTTGTATCCTTGAACGATGCATTCAAAGCAAATGGCTTCACGCAGAAACCGTTATATAAGTTGAAAAGGCCTTCGTATCTGTTCACGTAATCGTATTCAGACAAAAAAACTTCAGAGCTCCGTTGGGGAAAGAGAAAATGTGCATGCACGAATATGCGTGCGCATTAGGGGTTCTGCAATTGGTAAATAACTATTGAGACGGTCCCCCATTTCCTATCAATAGACCACTCCCTTATGGGCGGAGCTTCCAACCAGTGATAGGAAGAGAATTTTGGAGGGAATATGGGTTGGTATATAAGAGCACCTGCATACTCAGTCCTAATAGAGTAGGCGGAATTTACGCTAAGTGTGGTTTACTGTGGTATGGCTCGTACAAAGCAAACTGCTCGCAAATCTACGGGTGGAAAGGCTCCTCGGAAGCAACTTGCAACCAAAGCAGCAAGAAAGTCGGCTCCGGCTACTGGTGGAGTGAAGAAGCCGCATAGGTATAGACCTGGCACGGTCGCTTTACGTGAAATTCGGCGATATCAAAAATCAACAGAACTGCTCATCCGCAAATTGCCCTTCCAGCGATTGGTCCGTGAAATTGCTCAAGATTTCAAGACTGACCTCCGCTTTCAATCGTCCGCTGTACTTGCCTTGCAGGAAGCCAGTGAGGCATACTTGGTTGGCTTGTTTGAAGACACTAATCTGTGTGCGATACACGCTAAACGAGTGACCATTATGCCGAAAGACATTCAACTGGCACGACGAATTAGGGGGGAGAGGGCCTAAACGCTTATAGTCATATAACCACTCATCGCCTTGTATACCCAACGGCCCTCATTAGGGCCACAAATATATGAACCGTACCTTTCCCGAAATCCCATTGCATAGTCAATAATACTTGTTTGTTATGTGTAAGTTTTTGTATATAACTGCTATGATATTGTGATTGTTTATTATCAGGGGTAAATTGATACGAATAAAAGACGCATATCTATCTGGTCTAAGAACTGTTCCGCTAAAAAAAAAGGTAATATTCTTGGTGTTGCATAGATTCTGATGCAAAGGCAGTGATATCAAGGCACAAATACTAATGTTAAAATTGAGCATTACTTAGTTGCACGAAAGCTTGTGTCCTGGTATATAAGTTATCTTGTCATTGACTGTAATTCTGGTTTTTGACTTGCAGTGACTGAGTGGTATGCTAACTGTTATCGGAAACAAAAATTTATTCAATGAAAAGCATCACAAGAATATACAGTAATTACATTGTCCTGATCTTCTCTGACCAGGTCAATGTTATGTAGGAGCTTCAAAGTAGTAATCACTGGCAACCTAACTTTCAGTGAAAACCATTCAAATATGTTACCATTACTATTCGTTACGTATCACTAACAGATCTTCCAAGGCATTTCAGCACTCGGCAACTTTACTTTGTGTCGCAATGCACAAGTTTGAAGGACTAAGGAAATGCACGCTTCATATATTTGTGGCCCTGATGAGGGCCCTAGGGTTTATGTTCTACATCCAGTAGCAATCTAGATTTCCTCAGTGGTTTTCTTGGGAACTAATTCAGCCTGAATGTCAGGTAAGACTCCACCTTCAGAAATAGATACTCTAGCTAATAATTTGCTCAGCTCTTCGTCGTTTCTAGCATCTAGCTGCAAATGTCCCGGATCAGTGACAGTCTTTTTGTTATCACGTGCAGCACTCCCTGAGAGATTTAATATTTCAGCTGCCATATATTCCAACACAGCCGCGAAATAAACAGGTGCTCTATTAGCCCCACGCCTAGCGTAGCTGCCCTTCCGCACTTTATGATAAATGCGACCAACTGGGAATTGTAATCCAGCCTTTAATGATCTTGAGAGGGATTTGCCCGAAGCTTTGGCCTCACTACCTTTTCCACGTTTCGACATAACTCTTATCATCAAGATTGCTTTGCACCTAACTCCGCTGCTATCTATTTATAGTCCTATCGAGATTTTGTCAACTGAGCTCCACCCTTTTTGGCGGGACGCTGTGGGTGGAGCTTATTTGGCAAATCTGCTCGTCAAGGAGTATAAATATGTAGTTGGAGAGAAGATTGCATTAACTAGTCGAGTAGGTCGTGTCGTGATGCCTCCGAAACCGTCAGTGAAGGGAGCGAAGAAGGCTGTCAAATCGCACAAAGCGAGGGGCGGGGATAAAAAGCGTCGTCCTCGGCGTAAGGAGTCTTACTCTGCGTACATCTATCGAGTCCTGAAACAAGTACATCCAGACACGGGAATATCTTCAAAAGCGATGTCAATTATGAATTCGTTTGTCAACGATGTCTTCGAGCGCATCGCAGCCGAGGCAAGTCGTCTTGCACATTACAACAAACGGTCAACCATTTCATCGCGTGAGATCCAAACTGCAGTACGTCTCATTTTGCCAGGTGAACTGGCAAAGCACGCGGTGTCAGAAGGCACAAAAGCGGTAACCAAGTATACGAGTTCGAAGTGAGATCACGCTCGACATCTGTAGTTCAACCAAACGGTCCTATTTAGGACCACTAATATATGATTCGTGCTATGCTCCACAGATCCTTAGTGCAAACATCTAACAGTGGAATCTGAACATTGGTAACTGAAATACTCAGAACGCTCAATTTACGGTGTTAATTGCATTGTATATGTTTGTTTAATGTGAACACGATTCATTGTATTGTGATTGTATACTGAATAGATGAAAATTTTTTGAAGAAATAAATTTTTGGTATGTTGTAAGATACATGTAGCAGATTCAAAGGAATCAAATGATGTCGAGGTTCAAACCCATATTAATTTCGTCAATAAGCAAATGGTGTTTGTTGATGTTTTGATTAATGCAGTGACGTTGGGGACTGCCAAGAGATATTGAAGGTCATGGGGCAGTAATAGATGGAAAAAGTCCTTTATCGGCTGCACTATCGCTTAATATGGTGTGTGTAATGAAACATTAAAAATGATTTTAATGCTTGACAATGACGTTATTTGTCCTAACGGTTCCTGGCTTCTGCCCGAGTGAGAAACTTGGTAAGGAGGACCTATGCATTTAGCATTTGAAACGTTCTCTTAGAAGTAAATGAGTCAGAGAAAACAAAATCCCAACTTTACATATGCTGACTATTACGTTGTAATGCATTTTTCATGAAAGATTTCCGTGAAATTTTTTATTCGTTACAGTGCGTTACAACACTTATCGACTTTTTCTAGTATTCGTAGCTCAATAATTACTACGACAGGCAGAAAGCATTCGACTTCTTCGACGTAGGGACGTGCATTTCCCGATATTTGTTTAAGGAACCCACACTTGCTACTGTTGGCAGGCATGTTGGAAAATTATTCCACCGTAGGAGGTGTCATCAATGTTGTGTGTCTCAGAGAGGTTGCAGCTGTAGTCAGTATATATATACAAATGATGCAGTTACGGGTCATTGTGTGTGGCTAGTTCTGTGGCGATAAGTGGAACAGAGATCACTCTGCAATGTCAGGACGTGGTAAAGGAGGCAAAGGACTAGGAAAAGGGGGA